CAGATCTATGAAGTTTGGATTCCTCCAGGTGGGTGTTGTTTGGATCTGGCTGCTGTGCTCCACTTCTTTCTGCTGCAGCCATTAGAGTTGAACCCTTTGTGTCTCTCTGGGAAGATGTTCTGCTCCTGAATCAGCTGGGTGGGTCTTGCCTCTAGCCTCTTTGCAGGGAGTTCTGCTGAAGGGTTCCCTGCTGGGCCTGCAGCCTAGGGTCGAATGAGGATCCATGGGCCCCGGGTGGTCTCACTCACTTGCCAGGCCTGCGCTCCTGGTCTATTCAGGATCCCACGGCCCTAGGTTGTCTCACTCACTCGCCAGACCTGTGCTCTGGGCCTGTTCAGGATCCCGCAGGCCCTCGGTCGTCTCACTCACTTGCCGGGACTGCACTCTGGGTCTATCGGGATTTCTAGAAATCAGGATCTCTGAGGACACCTGTACTACAGGTATTCTATGGCAGTGCCCAATACAAAAAAAGAAAAGAAAAACAAAAATAAAACTTTGTAGAGAATTAAAGATTGTTCTAGCTATCTATGTCTGTGGAATGGCAGCTGAGAGAAAGGATTAATTTTGAGGAACAAATGACGGACATATCTAGGAACTTCCAAGTAGATGAAGACTTGTCCACAATAAAAAGATTGTTGAGGGAAGTAAAAAAAATTGATACTCTTTGTTAATATGCTCACATTTTTTTTCTTTTTATATATTTGGTACAGAGTCTCACCTGGCAGCTCAGACTTACAGTGATCTTTCTGTTTTTAACCTCCCCCGAGCTGGGATTACAAGTGTGCTGCACCATGCCCTGTCTGGGTGGCTGGCTCAGTGCACACAGGGAGCGGGGCTGGCCCAGCATGCGTTGCTGGTGATGGAGCCCCAGTCCCTCTGCTTGCCTAAGCAGGTGCTTAGACTGCTGAGCTGTCTTGCCGGCCCTATAGTCTCACATTTTCAACACCTAACATTACTCTTAAACTGTTTCTAGGTATGAAAAATCAGCAGAATGAAAACATAATGATTTCTTTTGCCATTACTAGACTTTTAAATAATCATATTAGTGTAGTATTGTTACATATGAAGTTGCAAAAATGAGAAGTGAGTTTGCTTAGCAAAAAAAGGGAACTTAATTCCTGTTCCCTGAAATTCTATTCATTCTATTGTATTCAGCCCTGAGGGCCATGATTTACACTTGGGGTCACAGGATTTCTGAGAACATATTTCTTAACCTGCTCAACACTCTTCTGAACAAATTCATCATAAATTGATTCTTCCACAAAAAGCCTCGATGCAGCTATACAGCTTTGACCTGGAT